ACCACACCTGGCTGATTTTTGTAATTTTAGTAGAGATGGGGGTTTCACTGTGTTGGCCAGGCTGGTCTTGAATTCCTGACCTCAAGTGATCTGCCCACGTCGGCCTCCCAGAGTGCTGGAATTACAGGTGTGATTCTGCATTTGACTCCAAGGTTTATTTTCCTTTCACAATAAGAACCCCATGTTATAGGGTGAAGATTAAATATAGATTGTACATAAGAATTTAGAAATTCAATTGACAGTATATGTAAGCTAAAATCCATTTTTGTATTTAATTTTAGTCCTGTCTACACTCAGGCGCTGGCATAGCCAGGTAAAAGATGAACAGTTTTATGATAATTAAGAATGCTTCTGTCCAGGTGAAGTTTAAAAAAAAAAAAAATCCTTCTGCAGTCCCTGAAACAGGTGGCACAAATTCAGCCAATTGATACACTGGTGTCAAGTCTTACAGAGACTTGACAGGTAGAGGAAGAAAGGGAGAGTGAGGTCTTCCAGGGCTATTGGTTACAATAAAATGACATTATTTTTTACTATCTTGTGCCTGGGGCCAGGATCATATCCCACAGATTCAAAATTCCACTTATTTAGTACAATCCATATAGGTAATCAAAATGGTTGTTGACCTATGTGATAAGGCCCCTCAACCATCTGGATGGACTTCCGGCCCAGACAGGGCACTCTTAAAATGCAACCTGAAAAACTGGTTCAGGTCATGAAGACAAGCGGGGGTCTGGGCCATCCCTCATTATACCTCTCCGGAATTCACATTGACACAGACATTACATCTGAAAAGAGGCATTTACAATCTACTCTCTCTGAAGCTGGCTACCTGAAGGATTCCTCTGCACAATAAGAACTTTGGTCTTCACAATCCTTTAACCCAGAAATTTCCTTTCTATTGATCCCGGGTCTTTAGATAAACAACGAATTGTCAACCAGAAATTTTTTAATCTACCTATAACCTGGAAGGCCCCCCGCCCCCACCCCATCCCCAGTTTCAAATTGTTCCACGTTTCTGAACTGAACCAAGGTATTTCTTAAATGTGTTTGATTGAAGTCTCATGTCTCCCTGAAATGTATAAAACCAAGCTGTACCCCCACCACCTTGGGCACATGTACTGATGACCTTCTCAGGGCTGTGTCATGCGCCGTGGTCACTCATATTTGGCTCAGAATAAGTCTCTTCAAATATTTTACAGAGTTTGACTCTTTTTGTCAACAATACCAGGAAGGGATTTGGGGGAGGGGAACAGTGAGGCTCATCTTTGTGGCAGGGATCTTCTGGGGAAAACCAGTGGTCACCCCAATAGACTCCAGAGGTAGTAGATCCTTGTTCCAGATGTGGCCCACAGTTTATATGTGCAAGACTCTGACTAGCAGGACACAACGAGCCACCTAATGGGTTTGACACAACCACCAAGCCCAAGAGTAATGTATAAAGCTGGAATGTCAATTTGCTAGTGGTATACAGTAGGAGTTAGATATTTAGGTTCACTGATCACCACTTCTATCTATGAAGATAAATCCACAGGGAAAGAAGCCGCAAATCACCAAAAGGTTGTTTGGGCCCTAACTTCTAAACAATGGGTTTGTGTTGGATGAGCTTAATGAGGGGGAGGAAAGCAGGCTAGCATTAGGCTGTCACCAACTTCAAATAGCAGGTTCTCTTCTACAGAGGTAGAGATCCTCGTTAGTCCTGCCCCATCCACAGGTATATTTATATTAGTTTCCAAGGATTGTTTTATAGTTTCTGAGCAAGTACAAAAACTGAGTAGCTTAAAACAACAGACATTTATTACCTGACAGCTCTGGAAGTGAGAAGTCCCAAATCAAGGTGTAGGCAGAGTAATGCTTTTTTTGAAACCTACAGGGGGGAGAATCCTTTCTTGTCTCTTCTAGCTTCGGGTGTTTGCTGGCAATCCTTGGAGCCCCCTGGTCTGTAGGTGCTTCCCTCCAATCTCCGCCTTTGTCTGCAAGTGTCTGTTTTCTCCTCGTGTGTCTCCTCTTCGCGTAAGGACACCAGCTATGCTGGATGATGATCTCATAACTAAACTAACCTGCAGCAAACCTATTTCCAAAAAAGGCCATTAATGTCATTTTTTCTTTTTTTTTTTTTTTGAGTCTGAGTCTCTCTCTGTCACCCAGGCTGGAGTGCAGTGGCTCAATCTCTACTCACTGCAACCTCTGCGCCACCTCCCCTGACCGCTCTGCCTCGGGTTCAAGCGATTCTCCCATCTCCGCATCCCAGTAGCTGGGATTACAGGCGCATGCCACCACGCCCAGCTAATTTTGGTGTTTTCTTTTTTTTTTTTTTTTTTTGAGACGGAGTTTCGCTCTTGTTACCCAGGCTGGAGTGCAATGGCGCGATCTCGGCTCACCGCAACCTCCGCCTCCTGGGTTCAGGCAATTCTCCTGCCTCAGCCTCCTGAGTAGCTGGGATTACAGGCACGCACCACCATGCCCAGCTAATTTTTTGTAGCTTTAGTAGAGACGGGGTTTCACCATGTTGACCAGGATGGTCTCGATCTCTTGACCTTGTGATCCACCCGCCTCGGCCTCCCAAAGTGCTGGGATTACAGGCTTGAGCCACCGCGCCCGGCTTAATTTTGGTGTTTTCAGTAGAGATGGAGCTTCACCATGTTGCCCAGGCTGTCTTGAATTCCTGGCCTCAAGCGATCCACCCATCTCAGACTCCAAAAGTGCTGGGATTGTAGGCATGAGCCACCACACCCAGTCCAAATAGGGTCATATTCTGAAGCACTGGAAGTTAGGGCTTCAACATATCTTTGAGGCGCACACATTGCAACCCATAACAGTATTCTCGGAACTTTAAATTGCGTCAGTTTTTGTACTAGAAATGCACTGCCCTTTTAGGCACTATGTATTCCTCTAATCTTGTTACTCTTTTATGACTTTAAGAAATACAGAATTTGGTCAATTTTAGGTGAGAAAGTAAACTTTGATGACTTGCATCAAACAGGAACTGAGGCACAACTCCTGGAATTTCCGGTAAGAGAACGTGAGTAGGAATACAGTCACTGACTAAAGATTATTTTTCAAGAAATACGCCAACAAACTGAGGGATACATGATAATTGAAAAACTAGCCCTTATGATCTTTTTGTTTTTAAACAGGTGCATCTTTACACAGTTAAATTTTAGTTAAATTTTACTAATTTTTTTTTTTTTTTTGCAGATAAAAACTCAGGAGTTGAGAAATCAATAAATATGAGAAAAACATCATGATTTATCAAGCCTGGATAAATAATTTAATAAGTCCCGCATAGAAGACCATGTTTTTTTTTTTTCTTTCCTCTTTTTCTTTTTCTTATTTATTTCAATAGGTTTTTGTGGAACAGGTGATGTTTGGTTACATGAATAAGTTCTTTAGCGGTGATTTCTGAGACTTTGGTGCACCCATCACCTGAGCAGTGGACACTGCACCCAATGTGTAGTCTTTTATCCCTCACCCCTCCCACCTTAGCCGTTATCATCTTAAGATTTTTGGCTATTCTGAGCCATCTCATTCTTCCCTCCCTTCTTTGTTGCATTCTCTCTCACCTACTCCATTCCCCCCACCTTCAAAGTAAGACCACCTTTGGTAAGAATGTTATACGCATTATGATACTTTTTCAAATCTTCAAAATTGAGGTATAATTACATACAGTAAAATGAGAATGGCATGCAAATTTGTGCCTTTTTTTAAAGCTTAGTAAATGTCATAATTTGGTTACAATTCTTATTTTTCCAGATACATGTGTTTTTCCTCACATCTACCAGGCTCAGCATTACAGAGCTGTACTTTATTTTAGAATTCTCTAAAGTGCTGTATTGTACACAGAGAGCTGCTCCTGACTGGAAAAGCCGCACCTCGCACCCCTCTTCCTTCAGGACCCAGATTCTTTGAAACGTTTCTCTAGCCCCTTTGAATACTGCAGCTCGTTTAAAACGTATATGGTTCTTTTTTCCCTGTTCAGTTATTAATCTAGCTAGGTTGTGAGTTCCTCCTCCAAGAAGGAGTTGGGGGTGCGATGTAGCTTGTCTGGTTTTGGTTTCAAAGTGTGTACAATACTCCAATGCCTACCACATAGTAGGTGCTCAATATATGTTTACTGTCAATAAGTGACAATTAACACACCAATATGGTACTTCAGAGTTTTCATAGCGCGGTCACACGATCTCATTTAATGCCTACTACAATCCTAAGAAATTCGAATTACTGCCATCCTAACATTTCTTGTTTATAGAGTATGGAGATCGACAGGTTAAGTGTCTTGCCCAGGACCAGTCAACAGCAAAACGGAACTATAATTTCAGGCTCTGGACACCACACAGCGTGTCGAGGTCAGCCCGAACTTGGCGCTGCGACTTTTCCTTGGAGGGGCCATTTCGGCTTGCACTTCCAGATCCTGGGCACAAAGACCCAAAAAGACGCCCCGCAGGGAACTGGGGAGCGGGACTACATCTCCCAGAGAGCCCTGGGGCTAAGCCGCAGATGAGTGGTTGACATTGATAGCCAATGCGGCTGCGAGGAGCTCGTGCAAACCAATCACAGTCTGGAAGGGGCGGGACCTCCCACGCCGAGACTAGATTGAGCGCAGAACTAACGGCGCTCTGAACGGTTCCAAACCTCTGTGGGGCTTAGAGCCGGATGCAACGTCGTCCTTTCCCGTGCTCTCCCGCGACTCCGTCTCGGGCCGTGCGTGTCTGGCTGCTAGGCCGGCAGTAAGGACTCGTCGGGTGCCCGGAAAGAAAGCACGTGCTCCAGCAGTTGTCGCGCCGCGTGTCTGCCCGTCAGACCCGTGCCCAGCCCCAAGAGAGGCCCCAGGGTGCTGGGGAGTTTCGGGGCTCGCAGTCCCCTCGAAACGGGAGGCGTCAAACGACCCGGGCCTTCCGTGGCAGGCTCGCCTGGCGCTGGCTGGCGTGGCTCTTGGCAGTCGTCACGTGTGGATAGCGCGTCTTCCCCGCCGCGCCCTCTGGGCGAGGAGGAGACTCGGCAGCATGTCACCCGCGCTCCAAGACCTGTCGCAACCCGGTAACGCTGCGACCCCGTCTGCGGGGTTCGGTTGTGTTTCTTGACTCGAGCTGTGGCCTCCTAATCCCTGGGGCGATTCCCTTTCGCAGCGGGAGACGCCGGCGGGGTTTCGCCGCGTGTGGGCGGCACCTTTAGAACGTAGCACCGGAGTCCCGAGGGCCACGTATTTTTCTCGGCTTTTTCTCCGACCTTCACCTCTTCCTCACGAGGCGAACCATCAAAACCTGCAGAGCTTCCCCTCCTTGCCCCCGAAACACATTCTTAACGTTATAGTAACTAAACTTTGCCGCATAAACCAGCTGGGCTCTCCGGAAGTTTTGCCTGGTGTCACGTTCTTACTCAGTAAACATTTATTATGCACATAGTGCCAAAGAAAGCTCAGGCGCGGAGAGAGAGACGAGGAAACTCAGAACTATTTAAAACTGCTACATGGGGCTTTTTATTTTCTGCTTCTTCGCACACTTCTGCAGACTCCAATATGCGCAGAGTAACTATGTTAAAATAGATTGACAGGTTCCACCTTCAGATACCTAGATGGGGCGTAGTAATTTCCAGCGATTCAGATGTTGGTGGCCCTGGGATCAACAATGAGAAAAAGCTAGTTTAGCACAAGAACTGAACGTATTGTTAGCTTTATAATGAGCTCTGCGTCTGTAAGGTCGTGCCGGATTATAATTTGTGGACAAATATGCCTATAAAAACGTGTGAGGAGATGTAGAAAGGAGAATTAGTAACAAATACGGAACAGTAAATATCCTATGACAGAGTGGGGATGTTTGGCTTCAGGAAGAGGGGCATAAACCGTAACGGACAAGGAAATTGTCAGAGGTTAACTGATGACTTACTGATTCTCGGGTTCTGATAACGGGACTGATAGAATTGTTCTGGAAACTACTGGAACTGTGGCTGAGAAACATCACTGCTGTTATTAAATAAGGGGTAAACCTGTCATAGGGAGATCATATATTTGTTTGGATAATATCTTTTACTCATGATTTCTGGTCTCCCCCTTCCCATTTAATTTAAACAAGCTATTTTCCTTTCATCGGAATTCAGGTGTCATTATCAGGAGCAAAATGCCACTGAAGACTTAGAATACTGTGAATAGTGAGTGATTTTTTTTTTTTTAAAACAGAATATGAAAGGAAAATTGTTGAAGGTTTGAATCTAGCTTAATCCCCTCACCGCAACGCTGACTTCTAGAGTTGAGTACTGAGCAATTCTTAGGGCCTCTGAAGTTCTGAATCAGGCCTGTGCGCCTGGAAAAGATCGTAGATGTAGTCCAGCTTCTATGTGAGCAACTTCTGTTAGGATTAGAATCAGGTTTTAACTTCCCAGTAACCCTTAGTCCCTTACTGGCATGCAATCTTATGAAACTTCAATGGAGAGCTGGAAATTCCTGATTCTCAAGGTTGGGCCTTCATGGTTGTGTGCGCTGGGGAAGGAGGATGGTGAGCTAGCAAATACTTCTTGGGAGAAAATTTTAGCTACAGCTTCTGAAGGTTTCTTGGTTTCATCCTTTCTTAGTTATGTGAGTGTTATTTAGAACTCAGTTGGTGAGTGATAAATGAAAGAATGAATAAGTGATCCAGTGAATTGGTATCAGCCTAATTCTTCTCTGGCTTATTAAAATCAAAGGAGTATTATTTAACAATATTTTATATCTTATTAAATATTAATTATATATTAAAATATATAAATGATAATTGTGTATCATTTAGTATATATTAAAAATGGAATACTGCACAAGTGAAGTGATGCCTACAAAGAGGCCAGGTGTGGTGGCTCACACCTGTAATCCCAGCAGTTTGGGAGGCTGAGGCAGGCAGGTCACCTGAGGTCAGGAGTTTGAGACCAGCCTTGCCAGCATGGCAAAACCCCATCTCTACTAAAAATACAAAAATTAGCTGTGGGGGGTGGGCGCCTATAATCCCAGCTACTCGGGAGGCTGAGGCAGGAGAATTGGGAGGCTGAGGCAGGAGAATCACTTGAACCTGGGAGGCAGAGGTTGCAGTGAGCTGAGATCATGCTACTGCACTCCAGCCTGGGTGAGGGAGCGAGACTTCGTTTCCAAAACAAAACAAAAACCAAAGTGAAGCAAGTCTGTGCAAATTAGAAATTAGAGATCCAAAAATGAAAGAGAGAAGTGTCTTGCAAGAGACATGTAGGGCAGTAGTAAGATTGTTTTTAGTAAAGCAAAGAAAGGACACTGCTGAGAAAGCATTGGGATCATTTGATTATAATGCAGAAAACAAAAATGTACTTTTCTTGCTGTATGTGTTCCCCATTTAGCACAGTGGAAAGAAGAGTCCTAGATAAGTCAGACCTACCTGGGGTCATTTTACCTTCAGAGGAGGTGTCTTCTTGACACTGCATATAATTTACATGCACATATTAGAAATTTATTTCTTTAGGCTTTCAAAGAATGACATAATTTGTCATTCTTTAGGCTAGTTCTTAAAGGTGGTACTACCTGACTTATCCCCTCCAAATCCGACTGGGGCTTTAACCACTTAGTCCATGTTTATTCTTTGGAACACTTGCTGTGTTAACGGCAGGGAAGAAACCCCACAAAATATACTGGCTAAATCCACTCAAATCTGGAGAAAATACTGTGTGATCTCTTAGGCTTGCTAGCCAAAAATGTTCCTTGAGACTCCTCTGCACTGCAGTTATTTACATATACTCATATATATTAAACATAAAAATATTTCTGAAATAGTGTTATAACTAGTCAGCTAAATGGAGGAACTGCCAAACTATATTCTTATATTTACTGTGAAAGATAATCAGAGAGAATCTGCTTTATTTAGAACTTGACTAGTCAGTAAATATAGAGAATGTTCTAGACCTAATGAACTGAATGCAGATAAATACAATTTTGTTGTTGTTCTTCATGGAAGAACGACATTTCAATAGATCCCCACTCTGCCAAGGGAAAGAATTGTCAAGGTGACTTATTCTTTTGAGAAAATTCTGATGGTAATGAGAAGCCAGTGAATTAGAATGGTGATTAAAGCCAATGAAAAATGACCTCCTACTGGAAAAGCTGGAGGAATACAGAAGGCGAAGAATAGTGAACACTTAATACCAACAGAGCTTCTGAAGGAAGACTTCTTAGTTTCTCTGAATGGGAGATCTTATATTATCCTCTAAAGGAAAAATAAGCAAGTGGATAATGAGGAAGCAATGGATTTTTTTTTTTTTTTTTTTAGAAAATCTCACTCTTTTGCCCCATTTTTTTTTTTTTTTTTTTTTTTTGTAGAGGTGAGGTCACAGTGTGTTGCCCAGGCTGGTTTTGAACTCCTGGACTCAGTGGTCCACCTACTTTGGTCTCCCAAAGTGTTGGGATTACAGGCGTGAACCGCCATGCCGAGCCTGAAGTAATGGATTTTTAAGGGCCTCAGTTGCATAGGAGTTTTTAATTCAGTCCACAAAATTCCTGCTCATATGTGTTTTATTATATATATTTTTATCTGTATTTTCCATCCACAATTCTCTTGTTTCCATAGACTGCCTTTTTCACATATATCCATATATTTATACATTTTATTGTAAATTCTAGTTTATAGGTTTTTTTTTTTTTTTTTTT